TCGCCCGGGCCGCCCAATCCCGGCTTCGAACTCGGCCGCTGCCCGCGCCGCGTCCTCCCCGCCGGCGACTCGACTTACTGGGCTGGCGCTGCGCGGGCCGCGCTCTGCGCACTACCCCGGGCGCGCTGCCCGAACCCCACACACCGCCTCTCCGCCGAGGAGGGAAGGATCGCGGCCAGGGCGGGGAGCCGAGCGCAGATCGCGCTGCGGGGCCCGGACTTCTCGCGAGGGTTCCGGCCTCCGGCGCCGACTCCGCGGGAATTTTCAAACTTTCCCTACTAGGCCTTTTGCGGAAAGGGAGGAAAGGGAAACTGCTTTGGGAAGAAAGGTTCGTCTACGTACACCGGGGTCTCGCCGCCTCCTAGGAGTGGGTGGGAGAGAGACTACAAGTCCCACGGTGCTTTGCGCGCTGGGCGGGGCGTAGGTAGTGGGCGGGCTTCGCCAAGCTCATGGCCCTGGTATTCTGGCGGCGGTTCCTGCTGGCAGCCAAGCGATAGTCTTTCCTCTTGGACTGCTACACTTGCCTCCGTGTTTTCCGTTCTGTGCTAACTTTTCATGCAAAAAGCGTACCCCAGACTTGAGAAGTGTTTACTCATTTTCCAAAAAGCAGTGTGCTCACGCCTCCTAGCCTGATCTTTTGTCGTCTGTCTGAACCTGGGTGTCTTCTGCTGACAGCACGTGCGTGGCATGCACGAAGCTCTGGGTTTCATTGCGCCACACCTAGGCTACCTTTTTGATTTGTTAGTATTGAGAGACAGGAGTTAGACTCCTGAGTAGGCAGACAGATAGGGAGAAGGACTGTGGCGATTTTCCAAGATAGCCAGCTTCGTCCTCAGCTGGCAGCTTTTGTCTCCTACCAGCAGGTCTCCTACCTGCGGATGGACTGGTACAGTTAAGTTCAAGGCCTGATCAGGACACATCACGCAACCGTGTGGGATCAGTCACCAGCCATTAAGTCTGTCTTCAAACTGACCAACCCGAGGGAGGAAGACTCAAGAGAGGCTTTAAAACCCCAGGCCTAAGAGGACACGGGATTTTTCAGCTTCCCTAGTACCTGTTCTGCTTTGCAAGAGGGTCTTTTTCTCTCTGTGTGTGCTGCATGTGTGTGTTTCCTCGCTCCCAATAAACGCCTTTCAACTGCTAATTCTGCTGCTACTTCTTGTACTTTGCCTTTTAATTCTCTGTCTCTCTCCTTTTTAATTGTATTTTATTTCCTTCTTTCTTTCCTTCCCTTCCTTTTTCCTTCCTTTCATTCATTCATTTATTCATTAATTAATTGATTAATTCATTAATCTATTTATTTATTTATTTATTTATTTATTTATTTATTTATTTATTTATTTTCTGAGACAGGGTTTCTCTGTGTAACAGCACTGGCTGTCTTGGAACTCCTGGCTGGCCTCAAACTCAGAGATCTGCCTGCCTCTGTGCTCCCAACCCCCAGTGTTGGGATTAAAGGCCTGTGCCACATTTTAGTTATTTTTTGTTGTTTTTGTTTTGTTTTTTGAGATGTGGTTTCTCTGTGTAGCTTTGGAGCCTGTCCTGGAACTCTCTGTGTTACCAGGCTGGCCTTGAATTCAGAGATCTGCCTGCCTCTGCCTCCGGAGTGCTGGGATTAAAGGTGTGCGCTACCACCGCCCAGTCACATTTTAATTCTTTAACCTGTAGTGAAAACAAACTCAATCAAGACCCTTAGACTGGACTGTATCATTTCTAGACTGTATCATTTTAGGAGCGCATCTCAGGGATTTCTTCTGTAGATTATCAATATCTATCAGTATCTCTCCTTGAAGTGATACTCTTAGCACCAGATACTTTTCAAACAAGTATGGAATGCATCTTTAATACTGAGTTGCAAATAAAGGATTATAAGGAGGCTGAGAACTCAGACTGGAAGATCTCTGTGTGTTCAAGGCTAGCCTGCTCTACATAGCTAGTTCCAGGGTTACATGAAGAGATCCTGTCTCAAACAAACAAACAAACAAACAAACAAACAAAAAGAGGGAGCAGGGAAGAGAGCAGGCGAAGGCATTAGCTGTGTTAGTCAGTAAAACCTACCTTCATCACTTTCTCCCCATGTGCTTTTAGAGAGAGAGCTGCCTCTTATAAATGTAGTATTTTTATCTTTATGGCTTTTTCTTTATTCATAGCAAGCCACAAAGTTGCAGTGCTTGTTTGCATACGGCATTAGTCTCAATGGTAGCAGAACAAAGTTAAAGAGGATGCCTTCTCACAGTAGGAGCTCTGTGGTCTATTTTGCCGGTGGCGAATGAGTCGTGTTAAGACTGTCTCATGTATACCATTGGCCTTGACTCCGGGGCTGGGATTACAGGAGTGCACCCCCCCATCCTCAGTTTTAGGTGGTTCTGAGGATCAAATTCAGGGCTTCATGAATACTAAACAAATACTCTACCAACTGAGGTACCCTGCCCCTCCCCAGCCCTCTTTCTCATGAACTAATTTTTTTTTAAAGATTGATTTATTTATATGTATACAGTGTTTGCCTACATGCATGCCTACATGCCAGAAGAGGGCATCAGATCTCATTATGGATGGTTGTGAACCACCATATGGTTGCTGGGAATTGAACTCATGACCTGTAGAAGAACAGATGTGCTCTTAACCTCTGAGCCATCTCTCCAGCCCATGAACTAATGTTTTTATCTGGTGCTGGGGATTGAACTCGGGATGTCTACTCCACCCTGAGCCCCATTAGATAGACTCTTCAAACAGAAAACATCCCTTTGTCCTAAATACCTACATGTTAGTTTCCATCCTTGCCTTCCTCCACAGTCTACATTTCTATCCTTTGGGTTTTTGTTTTGTTTTGTTTATTGTTGTTTTTTTCAAGACAGTGTTTCTTTGTATAGTTTTGGTGCCTGTCCTGGAACTCACAGAAATCCACCTGCCTCTGCCTCCCCAGTGCTGGGAGTAAAGGCGTGCGCCACCACCGCCTGGCCATTTCCATCCTTTGGAACAATTTCCTTGGGTGTTAGACTACTTGATAGAACAAAGACAAAGATTTTTCAGCCCAGGAATTGTGCTAGTGAGCTGTGGGACAGGGAGATCAGGTGATCTTTCTGGGCTTTAGCTGTCAATCATCTACAGAGCTAGGGGACGGAAGTGAAGGGCTGACTGCTTCTTTAGGCTCATGTTTGTTTACTAACGTTATCAAAAGTCCCGGGGTAGGGGAAGTAGCTGGAGTGATGGCTCAGCAGTTAAAGCTCTGGCTGCCCTCCGAGAGAACCAGAATTGGATTTCTAGCACAGTGGCTCACCGTCTGTAACTCCAGTTCCGGGAATCCAGCACCCTCTTCTGACCTCCGCTGGCACCAGGCACTCATGTGGTTACACAAACATATATATAGGCAAAATACATATACATGTAAAAAGTTAAGGTAATTAAAAATCCCTTTAGATTGTAAAATTAAAAAAATCTATGCCATCATACGGAATACCCAGGTATTACACAATCTTTCAGATTGTAATCTTTTCTTCCATTATTACTCACAGACTGAATTTTTTTCTGTGATTGACTATCAAATAACTGAATCAACCATACCTGTCCTATTGTTCTACAAACTTTCTGAGAATAATTTCTTTGCATTTTTTTCTTCCAAATGTGTTTTGTCTTTTTGCATTCTTTTCTAACAAAGAAAATTGGGGTCCAGCCCCTCAATAGCCTTCTTCCAGGGTCCATGGAAGAATCTATAAAGGGCTGATAATCTAATCTTGACGATATCAAATGAATCTACGTACACAAAACTCTTTCGTCCATTTACTTTATTCTTCTGAGCCAGATCTCGCTCCACAGCGGCGCCAGTTCTTTTCTCATGCCTCGCTCCTTTCTTGCCTGATCTCTCTCTACATTTATCTGCTGTTCTCTTAAATTCTATCTTAATTCTCCCATCTAGTTCTATCTTAATTCTCCCATCTAGTTCTGCCCCATCTAGCTTCTCATCCATCTAGTTCCTTCCCATCTTAGCTCCTCTCCCATCTCCTTCTTTCTCATCTTGTTCTTCCTCATCTTCCATCTCATCCTTCTAGTCCGCCAATCTAGTCCTCCTTGAGTTCTCCTCAAGTCTCAGAGGTTTACAGTTATATACCATGCAATAACAATGCTCAGGGTCAAAAGGAGGGGCAATGAGATTCCCACAAAAGAGCAGTAATTGCCAGGCATCATCTGCGACCCAAAAGGGACTAATGGGAAACAGAATCAACTGAGGGCTAAATTCAGTTAATATCTGAGCAAGGGGGATTTATGTGCTCGAACTATATTCCTAGAAGTGGTTAGGTAAAGTGTTAGGAAGGAAAATAAAACTTCCTTATTTTCCTTTGGTCCCTTATCTGTTCAGGCTATCTTGGCTGCCGCCATTTTCTGGCAGGGCCGGGAGTGCCCTTTGTGGCTGGGTAGCCTGAGTCACAGCTTGATGTACCTGTAAGCAGAAATCCTTTAGTTCTGAGTTAATTGTTAAAGGTAGATCTAAAACTAGAGATAAGACTTTGGAAAGGGGAAGGTTAAGCTTAATTAGCACATCTGCCAGGCCTTCTCAAACAGTTTGGATGCTTCGGTCTGTTCTTAGAAAGTCTGGGGAGTATCTCAGATAAGATACTTTTGTCCAGAGAAGGTGCTGGCTGGATGTTGCTAATGACGATAATTACAGAAAGGCCTGAAATTAGGGATTCTGACTCTGTCTGGTGTAGCACAGTTGGAGAAAGTTATACGAATACTTTAATTGTGGAGGGGACATTGTGCTCAGTGAATGAAAGGCTACAACAGCACACGAGAAGTTCATAGCAGGAAAGGCTAATAATCAAAAGCCAATATCACCAAGACTCCTTGAGCCCTGGCTTTATCCTCTGGAAGGCCCTCGGCTTCCTCCAGGTATTAGTTTTTGCCATAGTCAACTGAATTCCTACTTCATATTTCTGCAGCTTCCAGCACTTTTCTTTCCTCATTTATTTATTTATTTTTTTAATTTTCTACCACTTAGTTACATCCACACCTCTTGTTTATTTGTTTGATACAGACTCTATCTCCTAGTGTAGCCTGGAATGACCTTAAGCTGCTGATCTCCTTGTCCCCGCCTCCTGCAAGCTGGAATTATCGGGGTACACCACTGCAGGGGGTTTTATGTGCACAAGGGTTTGAACCCCGGGCTTGGCACATGCTAGATAAACACTGAACTACATCCTTAGCTCTGTTTGTTTGTTTGTTTGTTTGTTTGTTTGAGACATTCTTGCTAATGGTCCAGACTGGCCCTAAACTTAAGATCCCCCTGCCTCTGCCCACTTATTACAGGAATACATCATCCCACCTGGCCTCCCATCTAAACTTTAATATCCCTGTGTGGCCAGCTCAAGTTTTCCTTTCTGTGGCAAATCCTCTTTGTCACTTCAACCCACATAACTAAAAACTAGCATTGGAAATATGCTGCATTATTTCATTCCTGTTTCCCTTTTTGCCTCTGACTCTCTTCACCCACCCACCCAACACCCCCACCCCTCAACTACCCCAGGAACACAGACTGCATCTTTTGAAAATTCTTCCCTGCTGCATTTTAACCGTAATTACTTTGTAAACTTAATTTCCAATGTAAAGCTCTCCAGCTTTTCCTCGTCTTTCAGTCATTTAATCATACAGCAGATTATTTTAATTAGTTTCCAAAGACAGTAATAAATGTCAAGTGTAAAGATAAAAATGTAGGCTCAGTAGTTAACAGTGACTGTAGAAAGGCTGATTAAATAAATGAAGCATCTCTTTTACATAACACTTCACTGTCTTTGCCATGCTTGGCATTTATCAAAATCACTTGACTGTGATGTCCACTTACACTTGGGGTAGAGCTGGTACCATTGGTGGGCCACGGAATAGACTGCGGCTAACACAGCTGCAAAGTGCTCCCCTTTGGGAAGTGAGAACGTGAGTCCTGGGCCTGCTGACATCGGTCTGTAGTTTCAGGCACGCAGGAGGCTGAGGCGGCAGGATAGCAAATTCAAGTCGCATCGGAGCTACAGAGCAAGTTCCGGTCTGGCCCGGACAATTTAGTGAGACGTGACCTTAAAAACTCAAAGGCTAGGAAAGGGCTAGCGAGCCAGAAACGATGGCTTATGCCTACAACCCCAGCAGTTGGGAGTCTGAGGC